CCCCCAATTAAAAATGTACTATTTTTTCCTTCACTTAAAAATAAAGCATGCTAACATGGTCTTCTATGATGTGCAACATAAAATCTCTCAGAAGATGTAGTGTAGTGTTTCGTGACCCTTTAAACATTGCCACAGCATTTTATTACATTCTTGTTACATGTTGGCAATGACATTTATGTTTATTGATTATGTTTATTTATTTATTACTGTACAATGACATTTATTACATTATGCATGTAGCATCTGGAAAGGGCCATTTAGGTACACACTCACTAAAATCCACGTTCAGCGATCTGAGAGAAGTAGCCGTCTGTCTTGCATCGGCTCCTCTTGTCAGGTGATTGAGTTTTCGCTGGCATGCGTCAAAGTCAGCAGAAAGCTTTTAAGCATACAAACAAATAAAAAGCCACAGAGGAATTTGATTCTTCAGGCCTTCTTTTAGGTAATTATTTTGGGGGCATTTGCTGCAAATAAGCATGTCTATTAGCCTTTTACACATGCTTTGAGAACAGATTCCTTTCAAGTAGAGCTTTTTAAACATGCGCTGCATATCATGCATGCACAAGCCCCTCTTTCCAAATAGTAGTGGATGATCATCTGCTCAAATATGTTCTTAGAAATGTTGATTAGGCCCATATATAATGATAGCTATGATGCAACGGTATGAACACATAAAACACATCTTAAATATTTGTCTTTCCACAGGGCAAGTTCATCCGCATCAACTTTGATGTAACCGGTTACATTGTGGGGGCCAACATTGAAACCTGTATCCTGATCTGATAACCATTCCATTACATTTGAGCAATGCTGCAAATAGCTGCAAGATCAAATGCCTGAAATGGGTGAATTTCTGTGTGTCTTTATTTTTCAGCAGAAGTAAGGGTATTATTAAAAGTATTATTTAGTATTTTACAAATAAAATCAAACAAATTCTAATGTTTGTATATTAGTTTTATTAAATTTAAATAAAGTGCTATGAAAATCCGAACAGGTTTGATTTGACGTAGACTGAAAAATTAGCTGTCAAATGGACTTTGCTTGCCCTTAACTTAGTCTAAAGATCTTCTTGAAAAGTCCAGGGCTATTCGCCAAGCCAAAGATGAACGCACCTTCCATGTCTTCTACCAGCTGTTGGCTGGTGCTGGAGAACATCTAAGATGTGAGTATTTCTTTTTACATGGTTAAGTTTTTAGTCAGTTTTTAGCAATGAGATTGGGAGACTTCATTCTAAGTGCAAGGTCAACATGGATGTAATGAAGCAGGCTTTGAATATTCTCAACATGTGAAGGAATTAGACTGATTATGGAGAGTATGGTGCGGTCTGCTGTCTAGAGAAGACTGCAGCTGTGTTAATGCTCTTGTTTTTCTGGCAGCTGATCTACTCCTGGAGGGCTTCAATAACTACCGCTTCCTCTCCAATGGTAACATTCCCATTCCTGGCCAACAGGACAAGGACAATTTCCAAGAGACCATGGAAGCCATGCATATTATGAGCTTCTCCCATGATGAAATCTTATGTAAGCATACATGAAACAAACCTACTTCTACTATATTGTATATTTACTGCTGTTTTATACATGCATACTAGTAAATCATCAGAAATGGGTATTGCACACCTTTTTGCCTTCACTGTTGCATTCAAAATGGTCAGTGAATTTACAGTACAAGAGTCTCATGTAGTCTCTCCATTAATGAGTTGATAACCTTGACAACCCTATTATTATTTTAAGGCATGCAGTTAACACAAAGTTGAATTAAATTTGTTTAACACTAACAATTTAGCACACAATTTAACCTTTTCATTCTTTTTTAAACAGATTGTTTATATACAGTATAAATTAAACCCAAGTGGGATGTTTAATCGAAGTTATCTCCATTCTCTTGGTAAAATGTAATTCTTATTGAAGCTCATTAAGCCATGAGTAAAACATTGTTATTCATCGAAATTGCAAAAATCAGCAGAGCATTGCAGGCCAGCAGAATTTTATGCATGATTAAGTCCATAACAGATTGGTATTATTTTATTTTAAGTTAATATTTTGTCGAATCAAATTATATTACATTTACTTTGCAATTTGATGCAATTCAGAAATGTTTGTTTTGAGGAAATAAAACTCCTGCATAAATCTACCTGTCCAGTTTCATCATATAGACCTCATCCACTGAAATATTTGAACCCCTCAAATGAAACTGAAAATGATGAATATGAAAAAATAAGGAATAATCTTGATTAAATGTTGCAATTGTTTGACGTCCCTAATAAGTATACAAGAATGAACGAAATGCTGGTTAAAATAGTTTTAAATGGAGTATAAGCATGCCACACTGCAGGAAATCGACCTTCCAAAAATATTTCAGGTCAACTACCCACATACTGTTGACGCTGTTGTCCTTTTTTTTTTTCGTCACTGCAGCAATGCTCAAGGTGGTATCAGCCGTCCTGCAGTTTGGCAACATTGTGTTCAAGAAGGAGAGAAACACCGACCAGGCCTCTATGCCAGAAAATACAGGTACTCATCTGTTTTACAAGTTTCAGAAATGCATAATGCCTTATTTTAGCACAGAGATAACGTTTCTTTTTTTCAGTAATGGAAATCTAATGTATTATGTGAAGTACTTAAATAGCTCTGTAAATCCTTTGGCAGTGCATTAGCATGAAAGTGTGTTCGATATCCACACTACCCTCCAATCTAACCCCTGCACCAGATGTTTTTGTGCAGTTCTCCACTGCTCTGTTTTGACAAATTACCCGTTGGACTTCTCTTGGGCTCCCATGATGACAGTTTGAATGGTTTTTGGATACGTTTCATGTTAAAAGAAAATACCGGAATAGTTGTGCTAAGTTGCGTTAAATCAAACGTGTTTACGTAAGAACCCCCCCAAAAGTGACCGTTTTACCATCATGATGCATTCCAGCAAGCTTACTCCACTGGCATTTTGATTCATTTGTTTTTATCATCACCGTTCATGGTATGATATTGAAACTTTCATCTGTTCAAGCCACCAAGTCATTCACGACTTGAAGCTGGAAAGTTATAGTCGTGCTGGTGGTCCTGAGGGGGAACTCTTGGGGTTTGTTTGGCTGCTAAATGGGCTGTAGGGGTTTAGAAGTCAGTAAATTGCAATAACGACCTGACTTATTTGAAATACCTCTTATATTCATGAGCAAAAATGTCCCATAATAACTTCTCTCACCACCATTTAAGTGCATAAGGGATACTTCTAAAATCCGATAAATCGAAAAAGAATGTCACCATTTTTGGTCGGCTTGCATTAGAGGACCATTTTGTGAACAAGTGTGCATTTTCTGTTTTTCAGCTGCTCAAAAGCTTTGCCACCTGCTTGGCATTAATGTCATGGAGTTCACACGTGCCATCCTGTCTCCAAGAATCAAAGTGGGCAGAGACTATGTACAAAAAGCCCAAACTAAAGAGCAGGTAATGAGCTATTAAGTTTTCCACTGTATATCTGTTAAATCACCCACCCTTTCAGCTGTAAAGCAATGTTTTCATTAGTGTTTATCTCTTGAATCTTGTCAGGCCTGATTGTAGACCATTGCTGTACTTTTGTTCTATTCACATTTCCTTTTCACCTCTGTCCTTTTACAACAATAGGCTGCTAGTCTCCTGTCATTAAAATGTCATCATAACTGAACAAATTCTGCAGAGGGAGTAGTGTTTGGGAAACCTGTTCGGAAAATAATTCCACTAGAAGGGTCATTTCAGGTTTTGCTTACCATTTTTAGGGTTGGGTATTTGAATTTCAGCAATACGGATTCTGCTTATGTATTCCAATAAAAAAGAAACATGTGTCCTATTGACTCCGATTTTTTGAAAAAGTGGAAGTGGTTCTAAGATGAAACCGGTTGTCGAAACCCAACCCTACTTTTGTATCTGTGTTAAAATAGTGTGATTCTATATCATAACACATATTTTTGTAAATGTGAGGTTTATGTCACTTATTCCCTTTGCCTGATCCTGTCTCTCTGTTTCTCTGACCAGGCCGACTTTGCAGTGGAAGCCCTGGCCAAGGCCACATACGAAAGGTTGTTCCGCTGGCTTGTTCACCGCATTAATAAAGCTCTGGACAGGACCAAGCGCCAGGGAGCTTCCTTCATTGGCATCCTGGACATTGCTGGCTTTGAGATATTCCAGGTGTGGCTTCCTTGACTCAGCTGTCTCTTATGTTAATCATAGATATTAATCACTATACTGCAACAAATCAGAGGTCATATGATATGAGGTTTTCTAAAAATGCAGGCAATGCAAGAACTTGAAAATACTGTAAGTTTTGTGTATAAAAAGATATTGCATGGGACAAATTGTATTTAGTTTAACAGATTTTAAGCATACCACAGTATTAGTAGGTTTCATCACTGATTAGAAACAGTGATTATAGAAAATGACAGAATTTCTATGAAGAAAATTAAGAATGAATTGAGTTCATAAAAATATATTACTATTGTGCCACAGAATGTACTTCTCAAGGTAGTAATACAAAATTAAGTTTTGTTCCAATTTTATTACTACAGTTTTTCTTTCATGTTTTAGTAGTAAGCCTCTATTGTGATCACTGCTTGCCAAAAATAAAAGGAATTGTTACATTTTAATTTGATTGCATTTTTAAAGATTAATTGGATTGTTAATATTTCTTTAATTACCAGCGTTTTTGATAATTCAATTTGTATGAAATCATTAATCCAGAAAAATAAAACTGACAACACGGTATTTTAAAATATTTTATAGGCTTTATTATTTGAAACTAAATTGAGTCTGTTATTGTAATAAATTATTCAATTGTTAAAGTTTTATGAAATCAATTGTTTAGACATGCTTTTTGATTAATACAATTTAATTAAACCATTAAATCGAAATCTAAAGAAGAAAACATAATTTTGGACATGCTTTTGTGATTACTAAAATGTAATTATACCATTAAAACAAAGTCCAGAAAAATTTATGGAAAAAATGGAATTAAAAAAATAAATGCGAAAACTTAAACCCTTAAGAAGGTTTTTTCCTTCAGTTTGTGCTGGAGGATGTCCTTGCTGTCTTGCTTTGGTTAAGATGCATCTGATAAATTGATTAATATAATTATGGTATAGTTAGGATGAAATTACAAGGTTTACAGTAAATAGCGTAATTGGATACCCACTCATAACTGCAGTATTTAGTTAAGTGATATTGAAGATACTGATGTTGGTGAAAGAATCTATCATGCATGTTCTGGGACTTAAAAATGCTATGGACAAAGACGGTTTGAACATATTTTATTGCTCTCTCCATCTCTCTGTAGCTGAACTCATTTGAGCAGCTCTGCATCAACTACACCAACGAGAAGCTTCAGCAGCTGTTCAACCACACCATGTTCATCCTGGAGCAGGAGGAGTACCAGCGTGAAGGCATCGAATGGAGCTTCATCGACTTCGGCCTCGACCTGCAGCCCTGCATTGACCTCATCGAGAGACCAGTGAGCGCTCACCGCCCTTGAATTTTTGTTCTGGGTTCCTAGAATAATTTTCTACCTCAAATATTTGCAAAATTTCATGTGATTTGAAGTTACTGTGGAAGCAAAGTGCTTTCTGTTGGCTTTTCTAGAAGTTGTTTTGATCGGTCCTATGGTACCATTCCTAGGCAAATCCTCCCGGTGTGTTGGCTCTGTTGGATGAGGAGTGCTGGTTTCCAAAAGCCACTGATAAAACCTTTGTGGACAAACTGGTGCAAGAGCAAGGCACTCATGCCAAGTTCCAGAAACCACGGCAGCTGAAGGACAAAGCCGATTTCAGCATCATTCACTATGCTGGCAGGGTACGTCTGCATTCATATTAATGAAACTACACATAGCTGTTGGCTTCCCCTCTGGTGCTTCAGTCCTGTGATGGTTTTTGTAATGAAGGCCTGTTAGTGTTTCAAAGAAAAAAGGAATGCAGCGTAACCTTATGTAATTAGATTTAGTCAGGTCAAACTGGCTTGCAGTGAAATGTTGCGTTGCTGTCTTTCAAGGGTAGCAGCATCCAGCTGTGGTATGTGCTAACCATAGGCCACATCTGTTTCAGATCAGTGAGCTGTTTGCAATAGAAACTTGACACTGCATGAAATAAGGGACTTTTGATATTTCTCTCCCTTTGAGCAATGTTTGGGTTAAAAGCCAGAAAATTAGAGTTTGCTTTGTTTCCTGTTGTTTAAGTAAAGAAAAACAGTGCATTGATTTATACTTTATCACTTTCAGTAGTTACATAACACTATGCAAACACCAACGGCCGCTGAACTGCAGTACCTCTTAAATTAAACGATCCAGATTGAACCAGTCCTGGCTTAATTCCATTCTTCCCATCTTGAGGTTGTTAACATACTGTTTATTACTCTCATTTTGCAGGTTGACTATAAGGCAGATGAGTGGTTGATGAAAAACATGGACCCTCTAAATGACAATGTGGCCACACTCCTGCACCAGTCCACGGATAAGTTTGTGGCTGAACTGTGGAAGGATGGTAAGCTGTTTTCTTCTCGAGTGCCTTCCAGATTCCCTGAAACGTAAAACGGCTAGTTTTTATGGTTCTACCCTCCCACTCTGTGAAGAAAGAGACTGTTGTTTTCAGTCTTCAGTTTCACATCTTGTCTGTCTTGTAAAAAGAGCTTGTCATGCATTTCAGTGGCTTGTTGCAAATATTTTAACGTAGTGGGGGGAACTATTAATTCAGTTGCAAAGAGTCAAACTTTGGGCTGGGCGGTGTGTGTGAATAAAAATGTGTCCAACAAGACATTTTGCAATACTGTTGGTACCACAACAGATATATTTGCACTGTAGTTGTAAGCAGGGCTGCTCTACATTAATTACAGATTAAAGCAGTGAGGAAATATGAAATAATGCAAAAATACAGAGTGGGATGTGTCAAATATTGTGTCTTATTTCAGCATTGACTGTATTTCCAGCCAAAATAACTGTATAATGAATAACATGATACACTTTTATATAAAATTAAGATGGTGGCAAAATAATTACTCAGAAGTAAATACAAAATAGAATGTGTGTGCTAAGATCGATCAGCAGGATCTTAAAATGTTCAATTGAAAGTACACATATCCAAAAGCATTAGAGACTAGTGCAAATGGAATGAAAACTTTTGCTTATTCTCACTTGTGTTGCACAGCACTAACCAGTGTGTTTACTACCATTTATGTCTATTATGTGCTAGCTGTGTTCTACTACTACTTTTTTATTTTGCTTTTTTTCTTGTTTATCCCCCCTTTGCCCCCTTTCTCGGTCTCTCGACCATAGAGATTCAGAATATCCAAAGAGCGTCTTTTTATGATGTCTCTAGTCTCCATGAATCGCCAGGTGAAGGTATACGATGCTGTAGGTCTCTGCTTACCAGCGCATTGTGTACTTTCAAACACTCCCACCATGGCTTGTAGACCTGGGCCCTGGTCCCTCTAGCTGGCTAACTTTAGAGTTAGCTGGATCCATTTGGAAGGAAGCGTGACTTGGCTGATTCATTAGGAAGCCCAAACTGACCATGAATGAAGATTGCATGAAAAATTAATGCATGTGCATAGTGACTTAATACAGAGTACTGACACTGCATAACACTGGCACTGCCAGGTGCGCTGGCTACAAGGATTAGGGCCCTGCTTGTTCTTTGAGTCCTTTCAGCAATTTTGATTCACACACTCGCTAAATATTTTGCCTGTAATTTATTACTTTAGAAACTATAAAAGTGTCAAATCGTTATTAAATCCACACCTGTAGCATTTTTTTAGTCCAGACAGTTTTGAAAAAGGCCATTTTCACAAGAATAGGTGATTCTGAAAACCTGGTCATATTTCACCCCTAAGTCAAATAGAAATATGCTTTGCTTATAGAAAATAAGTATCTATCTATCTATCTATCTATCTATCTATCTCTCTGTCTATCTCTCTGTCTGTCTCTCTGTCTGTCTGTCATAAATGTAGTTTTTTTAAATATTTATCTACAAGCAAATTTTATAATAAAATAAAGCTATTTTAAGATCATTTTCATTGCAGTAAATCACAAGTTATTATAAAAAATGACTATAGTACAGTAATAAGAATCTTCAACCGTAATAATAAGTAAAAAAAAAAGTGTCTGGACTAGGGATGCTCTGATCGATCGGCATCGGCTGACATTTTATGACTTGATCGGTACTCACTAACTTGGCCGATCTCACGAACCGATCGCAGTTTGATATCTGGGATGTCACCGTTTCTGTCACTGCAACTTCCCGATCAGGCGAACAAACACGCACACGAAATCGTCTGCCTCATGAAAAAAATGTATTTTAAAAAAATGTAGTTAATATTTGCATCATTTATGATTTATAATTTTTTTTTTATCCACCCTCAAATAATCAGAATGCATTTTTTATTACCCGACCCGCGGATTATCCGCAGCATCTGTGGATATAGGAAAAGCAAAATAAGTTTGCTGCCTAAATCAGACAGATTTACTGAAAATGCAAATTAATTCTCTGCCAGCAGGAGGTTCTTTAAAGCGGGAGAAACAGGTTTCCCCAGTAACAGCTGTACACAAAGCAGCGCTGAGCTCACAAACGCTGCTTTATCAGGCATATAACATGCAAGATG